AGTTTTATTTGTAGAACGCTTTTTACAATTACACAACGTCATGAAGCAGTTTTATCTGGGTCCAGGCCCTAATGAGCAGGCCTAGGGTGACCGCAGCCAGGAAAAAATCTGTAAGAGCATGAGGAAGAAACCTTAAGAGGAAGTTTTCAACCTTGAGAGCTTTTGTTGGTGTTTGTATTTTACCAAGAACATGCAAGAACGTAGAGTAATGGTCTCTGAAGAATGCTGTTTTTGTCATGGTCACAACAAAACATGCTATCTTGAACAAGATAACTTTACAGGAGAAGCAAAAAGACATTATGAACTTGAATGTATGATAATGTCATGAGATTTTCATTTGGACCATCTCTATTGGTCCATTCAGCACAAAATGTTTACTCAATGTAAAATGGACCTGCTGTTTTCAAATGATGCAATAATCCAAATCGGGAGAATTGTTTCAAAAGACACATTAAGGAAGCTATAAGAATAGATCTTAGCAGGTGTGACTGATTTTTGGGTCCTTTAGTGCCCTTGGCTATGATTTAAGAGAAGTTTTGCTTGAGGTCACATGATTCATGTCAGTGTGAAATGGTAATAAGAACAAACTGGCCTGAAACAGTGTGATTTGTCTGTACTAAGCTGCTCAGATAGAGTTTCTCACTTTTGTGGTTCGGCCTTCTGGTGAAAGGACAAGGTCACACGTTTTCTATCACATGCAGAGGCTTTTGTAAAAGTGACTGAGACAAAAAACAACGTGTCTTTATACTTGTTCCGTTTCAATACTATATCAACAGAGTAAATAGTCCTAAATATCTGAGAAAGAAAAATAACTGCTCTTCTTGAATGCTGTGTCCCAGCATGCTTCAGTCTGTAAGTCCTGTCAGCAGGAGTATAGTAAACGGTAAACAGTGGGCAGGCCTGGTGTTGTGTCTGACTGTTATTCATTCATGTGACTATGATACTTTCATGTCACAAGAAAGAGAAGAACAGAGCTGGACCTTATGGCCACAACTTTAATGCATTATGATTATCAGACACAAACTCTTAAATGGTCTGTCTTCAACCAGTCAGTCAATCCATCTCTCTATCCTTTTTGCTTTTTAAATAAAGTGGGATTATTCAGTCAAAAGTGCACAGATGGGGAATCACTGGTTACCTTTACTCATGTGTAAAATGTTTATGGATTTGTTTCCTGTATTGTCAAATCTTACTATATTTACTAGTCCTCAAGCATATTTGTGAGAAATGAAATCTACTTTTTGCTCAGTTACAATTACGGTGTATTAACATCCAGTCACTAATTCCTTTTTTTGTGTTTAGTTTCATTATGTTACGTTGCTGACAGTGTGATTTGTCACACCTCTGACTTCTGGGGTTTATCTTTTTATTTTAGACCAAGAGAGCAAAAAAGAGAAAAATAACACGCCAGACTTTTCAGTTCCTATGCGGGATGCACTGGTTAGTTCCACTGTAGTTCTATAAATTCCTCAGTGCTTAATTCTTTAGTAGTTTTTGAGTTGGTACTTTTTCTTTTTTTGTAAAGGTACTTTTTGACTTTCGCTTGAGTCATTCTTCCACCAAAATAACGTTAACAATACTTCTACTGTAGTTTCAGGCTACTCTCGTCACCTCTGCAAATGAGTACCAGAGAAGTGACACTTGGATGTAAATAAGTTCAAACACTGTCTGTCCTCGAGCTACACAGCAGTAAACCGTTCAGTTCAGTTTGCTCTGAGGTAGAAACTACGTTGTCTCACATTAACTCCACTGCTCTGCTTCTGTTCTGCTCTGCTATCCGGGCGAAGTCACAAAACAGCAGCTTACCTTTCCAAACTTCTGGTGTTGGACATATAGTTGTCCTTCTTTGACGTGAGTGTCCATGTTGTACTGAATCCTCCTCTGAAGTCTGAAGTAAACCCAAACTAGTCAACACGCGAATCTCCTCTTCTGTCTGTATCTCAGCCTCTCACTTCTTCACACTTCCTTGAGCGCGAACTTCCGCTCGCCAAACTTCACCAAATCGTCGCAGGGAAGTCATTTAAAAAGTTGTTTTTTTATTTCTGTGTTTATTACATAACTCTGGATCCGTTGAGAAACTCGGTGTTCTCTCTTAGAGCACATTCAGCCTCTGAAGGTGTCCGGAGTTCACGCGCAGCACCAATGCGCGCACACGAGCTTTCAGGCTGCAGCTCCCTCCACCCACTTACACTAACGCTCTCTCTCTCTCTCTCTCCTTTTCTCTTCTCTGTCGCTTTCTTTTCCTTGTCTCTCTTTTTCACTTGTTTCGTCTGTCTCCTCTCTATCTCTGTTTCTCTTCTCTGTCGCTCTCTCTCTCTTTCTGTGTCTCTGCCCTTTCTTTTTTCTGTCGCCTTCTTTTTCTTCTGTCTCTCTCTTTCACTTGCGCTCTCTCTCTCTCTTCACTTGTTTTCTCTGTTTATCTCTCCTCTCTCTATCGCACGTCCCCCCTTCTCTGCTCTGTCGCTTTCTTTAGTTTCTCTCTGTCTTTCTCTTCTACCTGTTCTCTCTCTCCTCCCTCTATCGCTCCCTTTCTTTTCTCTCTCTTTTTTCTTCTCCCCCTTGTTCTCTTTCTTTCTGTGTGTCTCTCTCTTTTTTCACTTGTTTTCTATCTGTCTGTCTCTCCTCTCTCTCGGTTCGTCACTTTCCTCGTGTTGTGGTGCGGTCTGTGCGCTCGTGGTCAAAAAGTACATTTATGTCTAGAAATTTCCGGTCGTGTCACACGTGCCTGTTAATTCATTCTCGCATTCCGCTGTTCTGTGGTTGTGTCCGCGCGCGCGCGTTTTACCTTCACGATTGTCCATTGAAGGGTGGGCGACATGGCGAACAAAACATCGTAGACACAATATCAGGCATTTTCACGACACACATCACGGTATTTATTTTCATTTTTCTGAGGTTTGATGATTTGGAGAAGACAACAACCAGTAAAAAACTATCAGTATAATGAAACAGTCAATGCAGCCAGTTCATTTGGTACTGCTGAAATGCACGATGTGCTGAAATAAGCATGATATGACGTAAAATATCACGATAAATATCTTCCTATTGCTCTGTTTAGCAGTTCAGTTCATTTTAGTGTATGATGTTAAGTTGCCCCTGTTCAGAAGGATGTTCAGTGGTGGTCACCAGCAAAACCAGCACATGTTCTGTTTTGGATGTTGGTGTGCTGGTCAATCAGCAGGACCACTCTGAGTGACCAGCTAAATCTGCACCAGACCAGCATAAACCAGCATAGAATTCATGCTGGTCTGTGCTGTTTGTTTCAACAGGGGGGCAGATGTCGTTATAGTGTCCTACAGTACTCAAGCATTTGACTTGTGTAAGAAGTCATCACATATAAGCCACCCATAAACCACGTCTCTCTCTCTCTCTCTCTCTCTCTCTCTCTCTCTCTCATACACAGTCAATACTACAGCCTTTCTCTGACATTATTGTTTGGCATTTTGGTTGAGGGAGGCTGAGTGTTTCTGTTGGTGAGACAGTGTGGTTTTCAACATACATAATGAAAGCAATTCTGCATTGTGCTAACGGAAAAAGATTCTCCCCTCACTCACGCCCCCAGACAGGCATGTTTACAGACAGACACAGACAGTGTGGGCCTAGTTCAGAGGGGATCCACTGCGCTAAGTCTCTACATGCTCCTGCAGAGCCGCCCACAAACAAACTTCAGTCAGGCTGAGCACAGTAGGTCAAAGTAAAAGTCAGACAGGAGTAGACTTCCCCCTTCTTAAGGTGGAAGGATATCCTCTTTGATATCCTCTAACCTTCGAGACCCAAGATTTTGTTTCAAAAAAAGAAATCTGAACACGTCAGCTGATGATGGAGAACATGCTTTACTATTTAACTCTGCAGTCTACACTTTGTGAACACTAGTCACTATGTCACTCTGCATTTGTCCACAGTGGGTGCACCTTAAAGTACACTCTTAAAAAAAGATGGTTCTTCAAGGGTTCTTCAGTAAAGGTAATGGTCCATGAACCATGAACACTCAAAGAGCCCTTTGCATGATTAAAGAGTTCTTCAGATTAATGGAAAAGTGTTGTATATGGTTCTATACAGAACCTTTTAAAAAAGGGTTCTATATAGCACCAACATATGCTATATATTTTCAAAAAGATCTATATAGAACCATACACAACACATTCTCCATCAGTCTGAAGAACCATTTCACCATGCAAAGAACCCCTTAATCATGCAAAGGGCTAGGGTAGATGAATTCACTAATTAGAAAGAGTCTACTGACGTTTGAAAACATAGTTTACATGTCCACGTAATATTAATAAATCGTCTTGTACACTGAAGAAGACAGTAAATCTATGTGAAACAAAAGTGTTTTGAAGTGTTGATGCAACGAGCCTCATCATTTATTATAACTCACTAGGTGAAAGTGGGCCTGCCGAGTTCATCCAAGTAACAAGTATAATTCAAAGGTACATACCGCCATCTACTGGCAGATTAAAGACTTCAACTTGTACTTTATTTTACGTCGAAACGCTTACATTTTGCAACATTTCTTTTGCAAACTAGAGGCAGTTTCACAAACCAGACAACGTCAATCAAACAATAAAAATAAATAGATAGATAAATAAATACATACATACATACATATATGCACAGTAAGCCTTATTATAACTTATTATAATATAACATATTATATTGTAATAAGGCCTACTATGCATATATATATATATATATATATATATATATATATATATATATATATATATATATATATATATGCACGTATCTGTGTACATGTTTCTGAATATGTGTAACTTCATAGGTTCATGATAACATGCGAAATCAGTTCCTGTAGGACAGAAAGGAAAGAATGCAATAATTTTTAAAGAAAGTTCATTTATAAACAGGAACGGGAGCATGATAAGAAAGGCAGTTAAAAAACAGAGCAATAAAAGAGAGTAATAAAATGTACCATTTCAAAGTCTGAATTCAAGCGCTTGTGCATGCGATGATCTGATTGGTCGAAAATTATTCGATCACGTGGTTGTCACATGACAGAAACGGGAAGCGGTAGAAATGAGTGCGGTGTATGGTGGAGTTGAAGGGTGAGTTACTGTCAAAAATACTGATTATTATGATTTTTGACTTTATTTGAATCACATCATAGTCCAATAATACAATAATGTGCCTTTGTTAAGACGGCTGCCTCGAGTTTGTTTTATGGCTTTTATTAGGTGGGAGTGAAAACCACAATGAATGTTGGATAATTGAGTTAGCTAGCTAGCTAATTTGCCTTTAACTGATCTGACCGGTACTTATTTGGCTTTAACTGATCTGACCGGTACTTATTTGGCTTTAACTGATCTGACCTGTACTAATTTGGCTTTAACTAATTTCTGATCGGTACTAATTTGTTTTTTTTACTGATTACTGATCCTGTACTAATTTGAGTTTCCCTGGTTTCTGATCCTGTACTAATTTGGTTTGAACTGGTTTTTGGTCCTCTACTAACTTGTTCTTAACTGATTTCTAAACTTGTACTAATTTGGCATGAACTAGTTTCTGACCCTGTCCTAATTTGGTTTGAACTGATTTCTGATCCTGTCCTAATTTGGTTTGAACTGATTTCTGATCCTGTCCTAATTTGCCATTAACTGATTTCTGGTCCTCTATCAATTCTGGCTATAACTGTTTACTGATCTCATATAATTTGATGTAGACAGATTACTGATCCTGTTCTAAATTCATCATTAAATGATTTCTAATCCTGTATTATTTTGTCTTTTCCAACAGGGGTGGGTCTCACTCCAAAGCAGTGCTGCTCTCTGCTACAGGGGACATCCTTGCTGAGACAGATGGACCTTGCACCAACCACTGGGTGGGTGACAAAATAAAGTGTTACCTCTGTGAAATATTTTTGAAAACACTGCATGCATACCTGTGCAAACACACATTTATATGTGCATGTATGTGTTCTGTAGTTGGTTGGGGTTGATAAGTGTATCGAGGGTATTTACGACATGGTCCAGAAGGCAAAGGTCAGTGCGGGGCTGGACCCGGACACACCCATTTATTCACTGGTGAGTGGGATCTGAACTCTAGTCAGTTTGGAGTATTTATGTGTACTAATGTGCACTTCAAGTGGTTCTAACTAAAATTGTGGCACCTTTGTGTGTCCCTGTCCATAGGGCATGTCACTGAGTGGTGGGGAGCAGAAGGCTGCCATTCAGAAACTGATTGATCAGATGTCAGAAAGATATCCCAAATTAAGCCAAAGTTATTACATCACCACTGATGCCATCGGTTCCATAGCAACAGCTACTGACCATGGTACTGTATCAGCAATCAGTTAGCAGTAGTGACATTAAACATGAAAGCAGCAGCAAATTAAATTAACGGATTAATTTACACGCAAATTGGGCAACACAAAAATGGATGACAATTACTAAGTGTCTTAGCAGGACAAAAAAAATGCATAGACTCTCTCGTTCTCTGCAGGTGGCATAGTGGTGATATCAGGCACTGGTTCTAACTGTAAGCTGGTGAACCCTGATGGTACTCAGGTGGGCTGTGGGGGATGGGGTCACATGATGGGGGATGAGGGATCAGGTAACCGTCACAACTACACTTTGTTATGAAAACATCATTGTTGTTTACTGAGATTTCCTGATTTTATTTTCTATTTCTTCCTTTTTTGTAGCATTTTGGATCTCTCATCTTGCTGTAAAAACTGTATTTGATGCCAAAGATAACCTGGCCAAACCTCCACATGATATCACCTATGTTAAAAAAGCCATGGACGAGTACTTCCAGGTCAGTGATCAGTGGCAGGGGCGTAAATCTCTGACCTCATGTTATCTAGTGCATCTTGAAGTGTGAAATTTCAACACTATTTGAATGGATTGTATTGTAGTGTAATAATTTTGGATTATAATGAAAAAAAAAAACAATTTCAAATGTGGTTGGAGGAGCTGTTTATGCAGTAATACAATATAAACAAAATAATGCACCAAGCTTTTTTTCTTAAGTGCACATTTGAAAGTACACCAAAAATATATTTTGGGCATAAATGTGCACAGACCTTATTTAATATTATTATAACTGAAAAAAAAATAACAACAGTACAGTTAATTCACTAATTTCAGTTTGACGCTTCACAGTTCATTTTAAACCCTTCATCCCTTATTTATTTTGCATGAATTTGTACCATTCTGTTCACTTGTATTCATCTCTAGGTGTCAGATCTGATGGGCATGCTCCCCCACCTGTACAGAAACTTCCAGAAATCTCACTTTGCTGGGTTCTGTAGAAAACTTGCTGAAGGTATTGTTGGGAGAATGTGAATGAGCTTCTTATGAGACAAACGTTCTGTCATACCTGAATGCTGGATTGCACCGGCTAGGCTGTCTCTCTCTGTATCTCTGCATATTTTCTGTCTGTTTCAGGTGCCAATGCAGGCGATGCTCTCTGTCAGTATCTGTTTACCCAGGCTGGTGAAATCCTAGCACAGCACATTGTAGCAGTGCTGCCCAAAGCACACCAGGTTAGACATACTGCCCAGCTGACCAACTGAGCAAACATTCTGCACATGAGCATGACCGACACTCAAGACACCCAGACTCTGACTCACTCTCTCTGTCTGCCTCTTTGTCTTGAAGGAGCTGTTCTCAGGTGAGCTGGGCTTGCCCATTCTGTGTGTAGGATCTGTGTGGAAGAGCTGGGAACTGATGAAGGATGGTGAGTGTTGTCAAAATAGGTCCTATAACAGAATATGATCACAGCTACTTCTTTCTGTTTATTTGCAAAATATTTATGCAACAATATTTATCGTTAACAAAAGCAGGAATATCTCAAAACAGCTCAAAACCACACTGACTAAGCAAATAATGACCAGTTGCATTTACACACGTTTTGAAGTCATTGTATAACCTTTGCTCTTGAGATATTTGCTAGCATATCTTCAGAACTGAATGCATATGGGGCTGAAGCCAAATGACCAGTGCGACCACAGAAGGAAAGCCTGTTTCTGAAACTCATACCTGTCAAAACCACATTTAATTCACAGGATACTGTGGTGTGCCTGTGGTTTCTTTCTTCTACAGGTTTTACTCAAGTGCTGTCTCAGGCCCAAGCATCTCACAACCATTTCCGAAAGTATAGCCTTCTCACCCTGTGCCATTCATCTGCTCTGGGGGGTGCCAAGCTGGGGGCTCAGAATGCAGGGGGCAATCTTCCTGTGGACTACTCCTCTACTGCCAGTGTGTTCTTTAGCCACTCCTTCACCTAGCAGTGACTGGGATGGGACAAATGCGGACCAGTGAAGACCGATGAAGCAATCAGGACTCTAATCAGAAATCAGACTCTACGTGCAAGTCACTGGGAGCAGTGCTTGTTGTTTCGCAGTTCAGTAAAATCCAAAACGACTTCCCCTTTTTGGATTTTTTGGACTTCCCCTAGGCACTTCCACTTAGGAAAATACATCTAGTCAGAATGCATACGGCACTTTCAAATTGAAATGGCATCTGTTAAGTTCAAATAAATGCCATTTGTTTGAAATTAATAGGTGCCATGTCATGTTCAGTTACAGTTAGAGTTCATCAGTATCATTGTTGCAAAAAGGACGCCTTCCCATATGTGCAGGGAAAAATATGTACAGTACATTAGTCTTGATTTGATTAATCAAAAACAAAGAGTAAAATGTGAATGAATGCTGTTCAGGGTAACATAGAATATGATTGGCTTGTCATGTGGCTCAGATGTATCTCACTCAGAGCGCTAATTGTAAAATGCTGTATGCTTTTTTTAATTTTTTATACAGTATTCAAATCTTCTCATAATAAAACTGCAGTCACAAGGCTCACAATACAAAATGCTTAGGTAGTGTGTTGCATTTTGGTGAAGTTTTAAGCAAAAACATATGCTAAAGCATTTCATACAGTTAACAAGTAACCCTAATTTATGCTGATGTTTCGGTAGGGAGTTAATAAAATGACAGCGACAGCACTTGAGACCCAGTGCTGTGCAGACATTTATATTCTTTTTAAATTTAAGAAGCACTGAAAAACATCTGTGCATAATTGTGCAAAAAACGTCCTTATTTTATTTGTTAACAGATATTTAGATAGTAAAGCACAAAAATTGTTCCAATCAAGATGATTTATAAGGCAGTTCCAGGATGTGCCCGCATGGTTTAACTTAGATGTGTCTCTCTTATTGTTTTTTCTTTGGAGGTGACTGAATGTTAACATGTGAACAGGCACAATGATGTCATAATGCTCAGTTGCCATGGAAAGGAAACTACAGAACACTACAATATTGTGACAACATTCTCAACATTCTACATACAGCTGGTCACCAAATTGCTCTGGTGCAGTGCTTTAGAAAATCTGCTCTTGATCTTGGAGAAAATGCAATCTGGGCAGATGATTTCTAGCTTGAAGAACTATAAGGTAAAGCATTGCCTACAGTACACATGACAGATTGAAACACCTTACTAATTTATCATATAACCTAGTGAAGCTAAAATGTGGGAAAATTAAGGCAAATAAACAGCATGTTAAAATCTTGAAGCAGGATTTCTCATTTAGCTACATAACACCAAAGTCCAGCTTATGTAAAAAATCAGTGTCATTCTTATTGGACAGTTCTCACTCTGGCTAAAGTTATCCAGCTTTACCATGAAATCTTCGCTTTGTGATAACTCACTTTGGAGGAAGCCACTGTGCTTCATGGACAATGGAATTATGTTTTCTTTCTGCATTACAAAGGGTACATTTACCCAAGGCCCTTGGTCAAAGGCAGAGCTACAGAGCACCCACAGAGCAGACTACAAGCCTTACAAACAGCGTTCACTGAAGCTGTACCAGCCTGACCCCCAGACTTGCCCCAAACCAGCCAGCCCTGTACTCAACAATAAGCCTGAAGTAAGCATACTTTAGCACATACAGGAAATATTAGTTTTGGCATGCATGAGCCCATTGTGTGGTCTTGTTGCAGACTGAGCAAATACTGTCCTACCCAGTGAAAAAAAGAAAAATGCTGCAACAAAAAAGAACATGCATTATCTGAAATCAACTCAGTGTTTTGAACAGTGAAAAAAGAGATAACTGTTGTGTTTCCTTGTTTCAACCGTACTATACTGTCTCCCATTTTTGCATTTATGAATGTAATTCAGTACAGAGAAATGTCCTGTTTTCTGGGGGAGGAAGGAAGCTCCCACAGCACATAAAAAGAGAAGCTGGAAAGCTGTATCCAGCTGACAAGTGCCTCAAAGTTGACATATGACACAATAGCATCATAATAATAAACGGGGGCAAAAATCTGATTACTTGAAATCATAAATACAGTTTGATTAACTATATGAAATATATAACTGCATTTTTTTGGTGGTTGTGAAATAAATTTATACTTGAAGGGTCCATGTCTTACATTGTGCTTATATTTTCTTCCGTAGGTCCAACTATCACATTTGTCTGGGTTTATGTACAAAAAAACAGTCATGATTCATTTTTATACCACCAATTTCCTCTATTTGTTACTGTGCCTTTAAGACTGATGTATGTAAATGACCCCTGTTTTGATTGGTTCCTGTGTTCCTTGGTCTCATTGAAGAAGCAGTATGGGTTGAAACCCTTCTTATTATTTCAGTGTGAACGTGTGCATATACAGTGCCCTCAACCAATATTGGCACCCCTGTTAAACATGAGCAAAACAGGCTGTAAAAAACATTATTGTTTAAGATTTTGATCTTTCATTCAAAATATGTTTAAAATCTAACCTTTTGTTTAAAGTACAATGTTTGGGGAAAAAAACTAAATCTTATCAGGAAATAAATATTTTCTCAAATCCATGTGAGCCACAGTTGTTAGCACCCCTTCATTTAATACTTTGTGCAGCCTCCCTTAGCAAAGATAACAGCTCTGAGTCTTCTATAACACTTAATGAGATGAGAACACATGGCAAAAACCATTCCTCCATACAGAACCTCTACAGATCCTTTGGATTCACTCTGTGGACTCTCCTTTTCAGCTCAGCCCACAGGTTTTCTAGGGGGTTTAGGTCAGGTGACTGATGGTGAACCATTTTTATGTTAATTTTGAGGTGTGCTTTGTATCAATGACCTGCTGAAAGATTCAACTATATCCAGTTTAAGATTCAACTATGCCCATTTTAAGCTTCCTGGATAAGACAGACAGGTTTTGATTTTATTTCTGCTGGTACCTGATGACACAATGAATCCAAATAAACTGTCCAGGGCCTTTGTAAGAAAAACAGCCCCACAGTATCATAGCTCCACCACCACAGTTCACAATGGGGATGGGTCCTTTTCTGCATATCTTTGTGTCCTCAGCAAACTCATCTCTGGTGTTTGTTGCCAAAAACCTCTATTTTGGTCTGGATCACAGAACACAGTCCCACTGAAAGTTCTAGTAACGTTTGGCAAACTGTGCTTCATTTTGTTGGTCCTTGACAGCAAGAGATGTTCTGAACCCAAGACCAAACTAATGTCTGCAATTTCCCATCTGTGATCCATTTAGATTCTTTGTCCATTCAAACCATCCTCCGCAGTGTGTATGGCGTCAGTATAGGCATACATCCAATTTCTGACAGATTCTTAACATCTGTAGTTGTTCTAAACTCCTTACTTATTACCTTGATAGTGGTGATGAGCATTTTCAACTCTTTAACAATTTTCTTGGAGCCATTTACTGATTTGTGCAGCTCAACAACCTTTTGTCGCACATCATTGCTGTAATCTCTGGTCTTTCTCATAGTGATGGATGACTGAGGGAATTTGGCTTGTGTGTCACTTCATATTTAAACCCCAGTGAAACAGTCATGGTTGACCAGTAAAGTGTTCCTAATCATTTAGGTGAACTTTAAAACATTAAATATGAATAGGAATATATGTCAGTTAGATTTCACTTAAGAATTTCTAGGGGTGTCAACAATTGTGGAACACAGATTTAAGACTTTTCTTCATGACAAGATTTAGTTTTTTCTTTCAATCAATATAACTTAAATAAAGGTTAGATTTTTGCTAATATTTTGAATGAAAGACCAAAAGAATAAGTAATTAGGAATATTTTTACAGATCATTGTGCTCATTGTTAGCTCCTAACCATGAAAGGAAGTTGATGGAACAAAATTCTTTTCCAAGTGATTTTGGAGCTTTCATTGTGAAATTTGAACACAAAGCAAAGGGTCACTGATCTCAAATTCTGTAAACAATAAAAGTGGAGATATTTTGTTCTGGCAGTGATGGTATGTCAGTGTGTTGGTTTTAATGACAAGAACAGGTAGTTTAAAACTGCTACTATTGTAGTTCACTGATCATACATGTACTGATTAATGAGAGACTGAAAGAGAAAACAATGAAAATGTACTCTGGGTAGTGAGTACATGATGACACAATGTTTGCATATGTCATCAAACTCTTTTGTTTCAGAAAAGTGAGGAATTTATTTTTTTGTTTCCATAATATGTGCACTTAGGAGAAGAGCAGATTAAAGAGTAACGCAAGTGACTGTCCTCCTTTGTGCTTATTGGGTAAAAATCAGGGTGCTAAATCGGTGTCAATGTACTTTTAGATAGGCCGTGACACGTGGGAGAGGTTGAGCAGGTTCCACAAAAAGATGAGCAATAGTGTCTACGGATCCTCTACGTTTGGACAGGTGAGGCTGCTGTCTATTCAATCTTTAAAATAACCACAGAACAATATACAATGTGTACATGTAACATGATCTTGGACTCATGGTCATGGCCCTGCTGAGGCACTATTTCAGAGTTTGTTTTTGCTCTGTCATGGTGGATGTAATGTATCAAGGCATTTAAAGAGATTATCCACCTTCCAGTTTCAGTTGTTCTCCACCCCTTCCACTTTTTGAAAAACAGGAAGATTCATGGGTGGGTATTGCTACTTGTAAGTAGTTGACATGACAGAGCACACATGAGCAACATGGACCCCTAAATTTTGACCATGATTTATGAAAACCAGTGCTTATTCTGGTAATAACAAAAGAAAAATACAACTTACAGGCTCCCCTGCCAGTCTTGTACCAACTCTACATAGCGCCAGCTTGAGCCTTTGGCTTCATCTCAGGTTATGGTGTTAAAGTTGTAATGTGCAACACATAAAAAGATTTGTTGCAGTGGCACCGCTAAACCACTAGAGGGGGACAACCTAGGCAGACGCAATTACTCTTTCATTGCATTACAGACCATTACTGAGCTCTGTTAAAGTAATCACATTCTGGTCTCATGAACTGCACATAATACAGCTCATACTGGAAGGTCATCTGAGCTGCCCACATATTATAAATCAAGTAATCATCTATGATTCACGTGCTTGTGAAGCCTAATATCATTACTGATTAGAATGATCAAGTGTGTTCTCTTCACAGAAAGGTCAGTCCATGATAGTCACTCTTCTGGAGCGGGACAAGCACCTAAATACCAATGGGGCAAGAGGTGACCAGAGCACCCTGCCCCCTCTGGAAAAGCCCACCACAAGCCCTCCATCCCAGGACATCCTCTCCATACCTTCTGGAGAAAACAAATTGCCATCATCCTCTACCTCAACATCTTCCTCTACATCAGTCCCTCGTACACCTCACAGTGTTCGCTCCTCCTCCCTCTCTCTGTCCCGCACTCAGGCTGCCTCACCAGTCACTCCCACTGTGGTCTTAGGCCCTGCCTCCAGTCATTCCAGCCCACCCTGCCACACGCAGGTAGGGAGAGGAGTCACAAGCATCAAGGAGACCATGCCGGTTGTCAAGGAAACCATGGCAGACACTAGCAGGCTTCAACACATTGGAAGTGGTCAAGGTAAGCGTAAAGTCAACATTGGCCTGCAGTTGTAGGGTAAAGGCTAACATTGCATCAACAGAACAAATGTTCCATTGTATTTCACTCCATCTGGATATTCAAGACCATGAAACTGCAGTCCAGCACACACTTTGGTCCTGTAAACCAGTCCAGGTTACTTTGCTCTGTCAAAAGCAATAAAGCTCAAAATAAACTGGATCAAGCACCCATTAAATAAAGTCTTTTTATAGTCCACAATAGCATCATTTAGGATGTTTAAAGTCTGAGAATAAATCAAGGCAAGGAAGGTGGATTATTGAGAATAACAATGAAAAGAATAAGTACATTTGGAGTAAATCTATGACACAGTCATAGAGAAATCCAGAGTGATCATCTGATTTTTGGAAGATGAAGGGCCAGTTTACCAGACCCACATTAAGACTAAACCTAGGTTAAAATGAAATTTCAGTGGTGACTCACCAGTGGCACTGCAATTTAATACAAGACTAGGCTTAATCCATGTCTGGGAAACATGTCTTATGTGTTTAAACTGATATACAGGATGTTACTAGTGGTTCCTTTACAGCAGGGGTGCCAAAGACCTAACCTAACCACTTTAAACAGTCCTTTCAAGTTATATAAAACAAACAAGGACAGTGTAATTTACGCAAACACCAAAAGCTATTTGAGTGCTAACAGCACTCCCTTGTTGAGAGTGAGTGAGTGATAAATAGATCAATAGATAGATTGATAGATGGTGTTTTGTATCTCAAAAATAAGCGTGCTAGATCCACCAGCCCTAGAGCTGAGGTTCACATTTCCTAAAAATAGTGATTTCAGCAGTTAGTATTATGCAAATTGCATACCAAATCATCTCATCATGCACTGCAATTTTATTATAGCTCCAGTGCTATAGGTTACTTAAGCTGTAACATCTGAACTCAAAAGCTCTCTTGGCTGCCTTTGCAGCTTTTAAAATTCACTGTAGACCCGAGTTGACTTTGCAGGCTTGTTGCCAAACTGAACTGCATCCAGATGAACTCTAGTCTTTGCTTATTTTGCTATTCAGTACAAGTTTACCATCTGATTTTCTAGGTCAGTATCAAGGGTGAACTGAAGGTCAGTGTGGATATTGAAGTATGTAAGAATAACAGCCAAGAAACACAGCAACCTTTAAAGAGTTGTGCAATCCCCTCGATACAATCTCTTTAAGGAAACGACAGCACAGAGATATGGAGTGATAATTCACAGGAGTGTAGGAGTCCGGCATTGTTTTGACTTTGACAGTTATCTGTGCCTTTACAGGAAGCGGGACAGTGCTCCAGGAGCAAGGAGAAGGGCAGAAGGAAAACTCTTATGAGAACTTCCTGCAGGACCTCTGTCTTTCAAATAAGCTAGAACGCCTACTTAACCGCTACTTCAGCTCCCGATCAACACACTTCGGGAAAGGGAGTGAGGATAAACACACACACAAATAAACAACAAAAGTAGTCTTTTACTAAACTAAACATCCTCCAGCAGGAAAGTCAGCATCAGTACAAACTGGTGAACACACACTCTCATACACTTTTAAAAATAAAGGTGCCAAAAAGGGGCTCTTTGGAGTGATGCCATAGAACACAGTCCTTCAGTGCTGATTAGGTGATTTCTCCAGTCAAATACATCTGTTTCAACTAATCTGTTAATTTCCAGCTTTAATAGGTCAGTTTGAGCAGGATAACCCCCAAACTGTGCTGGACAGTGATCCTCCAGCTCTGGAATTGAAGATTCGTACCATTGAACAATCATTTATTATTCCCTTTTGAACCTTGCAATGGATGGTTGTTTGAAGAACGATTTTTTTTTAAATGAGACATGCAAATGTGAAGAATCTCTTTAAAGATTAAAGAACCTCCACATAATGTATTGGTTCAGAACCAAATAAAGTTTTTTTTTTCCCAGAACCACAAGCAAAAACCATTAAGGATGGTTTAGGATTTAGATGCATTCTTTATGTTTGAGTGTACAGGATACTACGGTTCAAAGGTTTGGAATCACTAGTTTTATCGCAGATGAACGTATGGACTTCACAGTTTCCAAATAATTGAAAGCTGAAAAAAGCTGTAAACAAAAAATGTTAGATCTGCTCAGAATGAAAAACAGAGCTGCTGATAACTCCGTAAAAAACTGAAAAATATGTTTTGAGAATTGAGATTTGAGAATACTTTATAATAAAATTATCATCCAGAATACTTCCTATCAAGCCTCAAGACAGATAACTACTAAACTAGACAGGTACTTACAGTACATAATTGATCATTTAATAACTTCATGGTCTTTCCAAAAACTTTGTTATTGAATAAAACATCTACAACTTTCTTCTGGTGTCTTAAATATTTGTATCTATCCGGTACAAGTTATTATTAAAGTAAATAACAGTAATTAATATAACGTGATTCTAATCTTTGGAATCTTTGGTAGTATATATGCATGCTAACCCTAGCTCTTTGAGAAAACTTCATTTCAGTTTTCTAAGAACAGCACTTACAATCAACTTGAATTAATTCCCTAGTAAAAAAAAAACAAACAAAAACAAACGCAATCAGTGGTATTGCAACAAGAGTAGATTTCAAAGTGCAGAAGTTAGTGTACCCTGCTCTAACACACCTGCTTCAATGCACCGAGGGCTTGATAATTAACTGACGAGCTCCATCAAGTGTGTTCAACTATGGAAAAGAACTATACTGTAAAGCAGTGCAGCTGTTTATGACTGGAAGTGAGGTTGCTTTTCACAAAGATATGCTTGGAAATGCTTGCTGTAGTTGTTGATTGGAGATTGTGGCACATGCTGTGTTGATTACTTGTGGTTGTTCTTGAAGGAGGGATGTCCCAGGAGAACGTCACCACCTACACAAACAGCTTCATCGCCCAAAAGGAGAGTCTGAGGCACAGACAGCCTCGTCCCCTCAACAAACACAGCGCACACTGGTAATTTCTCACAGAACCGGCACAATCACTCCTGCTCAGTGAGGCACTGATAACTTACTGATAATCAAAGAAATGTGGGTCAGATTTGATATAGCTCAGACTTCCCAGTGTTATGATGCAAAACATTTATACACAGATTCTCATTATTGTCCTCTCATTCACTCTTTGAAAGTTTGGAAGCAGTATCAGTATTAAAAAACAATCAATAATATAAAACATACTATAATCTAAAACAGTGGGCACTAATCTACCTCGTGGAAATCTACCTTCCTGCAAGCTTCACCTCCAACCCAAATCTACCACACCTCATTCAGCAAGACAAGGACTTCTAAAGGCAATAATTAGGTGGATCAGCAAAGTGTGTAAGTGCACTTTGTAGCTCTACAGACTTTAGTCCATCTGTTTCTTTGCATGATTTGTTATGCTACCTTGTGCTGGCACGAGTGGATCAGACACAGCAGTGCTGGAGTTTTTTTAAACACTTCACTCTATCAGACACTCCTACCTTGTAGATGTCAAGTCAGAGGCAATAGCTCATCTGCTGCTGCACAGTTTGTGTTGGTCGTCCTCTAGTCCTTCATCAGTGGTCATAGGACACTGCCCACAGGGCGCTGTTGGCTGGATATTTTGGGTTGGTGGACTATTCTCAGTCCAGCAGTGACACTGAGGTGTTTAAAAACTCCAGCAGCACTGCTGTGTCTGATCCACTTGTACTGGCACAACACACACTAACACACCACCACCACCACATCAGTGTTACTGCAGTGCTGAGAATGATCTACCACCCAAATACTACCTGCTCTGTGTTAGTCCTGACCATTGATAAATGAGGTAAGGTAGGATAACAAAGTATGTAGGGAAACAGATGGACTGCAGTCTGTAATTGTGAAACTACATAAGTGCTCCTATATGGTAAGTGAAGCTGATAAAATGGGCAATACATGCAGATACATGGTAGGTGTACCTTAAAAAGTACTCAGCAAGTATAAAATAAAAGATGGATATGTTAAGTAATTTTTTTTGAACTTCTGAACTGTAGCGTATGCCCCACAGAACTCAAGGTTTTCCGCTCTCTCCTCTCTATGGCAGTTCTCCGTGGGTGTCAGAATATGCGGATAAGTTTGGCTTCCTGCAGAGGGTCTACCCTCCCCGCGTTCCACAGGACTCTCTGGCCTCATCTCATTCCACCATCACTGCAACTCTACTCACACGCAGGAGCCTCTGCACTGAGTACCAGGCCAGCTACAGCAGCAAGGTCATAACAAAATGGCAGACATAACCCCTTCAACTGCAAGAGCCTTGAACTGTATGTGTAATAGACTAGTCATACTCACACTGAAGGTTACACCCAAACAACCACTACATGCACAATATACTTTGTCTGGCACGTGCACAGATGCAATGTCTGGGAGTAATCTTCTGTAGGGCATAGGTTGTTACTTGTGGGCGACTGTTTCTCACTCGCTATCGTAACTGTCTTCTCAGCAGATAAGGAGCTGCAGACCTGTCCAGTGCCACAACTGCTGACCACTCATCAGCTTCAGCACTGAACCTCTGTTTTTGACTCTATTTTTATAATACTACAGAACTTATAAAGGAGTAATAAACATTTTGAAATTTTGACACACCTTGCTTTACTGTAGTGCCACAGGAAAGGATCTGGTTCATGGAAACATCCAGTCTTTTTCCTTAATCTTCCTCAAACGCCATCAATCAACCAAGACTTATTATATTAGCCTCAGAACTCCACTGCAAAACCTTGGACGCCAAACGTCTTGGCCGACGGACTATGCTTGGGTTTATTTTGTGGCAAACTACTCCTTTTTTGTATTATAATATCAAAATGATACCACTTTACAATAAGACTGCCCTTAATAAAGGTTTATAGAAGTTTAAAAAATTATTAATAGTTAATTAGGAGGTCTTAAATACCTTATTCTTTAATAAACAGTTAAAACACAAAAAATAAAAAGAACAGTGAGCAGTTAAATCTGATAAAGCTAACATGTATAATGCAGACTGGTGGAGAAAAAGTAAGAGAAGTAACCAGCAAGATCAGATCTAACAGGTCACTGGTGCCCTTTTTATTTGCAAGTTGTAACTGCTTATTAATGAGGTTTTAATAACCATTAATAAACCATTCGGAAACTCATTTTAAATGGTAGTCTTATTGTAAAGTGGTACTAAAAGTTTGCTATATATAAAAAACAAAAAAACACTAGAACTGATCAATAGATTCTTCTGGCCAATCAGTTGTATTGGGAATAGGTCCAGCTTTGTAAGTGTCCTTGCTTTGTTTCTCCAACATTATTAGTATTAGAAGTGGTGATTGGTATTTCTTATTAAAATGGCTGCCAAGCCGTCTGGCCATGGAGTCACTTTACCAATTAAGTGCTGTCAAGAACAATGATACAGTAGCCAGTCTGGACCAACTGTTCCCATTCAAAACAAAAGAATATACCAATACATATTAAACTGGAATTTTCACACTGTGAATAACTGAATAACTTGTTGATTAACGCTGGAGTGTCACACTTGAGTCCTTTATGAGGTGATGGAAGCCGTGTTTTTCCTGCTCCAAGCAGTATGTGCAGTGCTAGAAGATCAAATGTGGCATCCCTGGGGGTTTTAACAACACTGATGTGCAGATGTACATTCAAAAACAATAAATAAATAATTCAGGCTGAGCAGAGGTCAGCTGCAAAAGCATTAAGATCAGTGAAAAATCCTTGAAGCAGAGAGTACTGCAGTCTAAATTTCATAAGCAATCTCAATCCCAGTCCTTGGGTCACATATGGGATAAAACTGCAGTCTAAAACACTTGTAATAATGTAATAAATTACACTTTTAATGTAATTATTAATCTTCATCAGAGTCAGGGAAAACAAAACTACAATACTTGCAGAAGATCCCCTGACGTTACATATTTATAGATAAGTAAAATCAACTTGCCCGATATGATAGGTGGTACATATAAAACATGATGTACAAAAGAAATGGCTCAACCGGGTACCAACATTTTTTAACCTTTATTTACTTTTTTTCTTCCTTTTTCAAATGAATTTCATTCTTGCATGTAAGAATTTCTACTCAAAAATCAAAAGTTTTCATGTGAATTCCTCCAATGCTTTTTCTTACCATTCCACACAAACTGCCCCCCCCCCACATTCAGTCACAAGCCCCTCCAACACCCCCCCCCTCCCCAATCTTTTTGCCCACACCAGCTTCACTTGCAGGGCACAGACACCACCCTCCCCACTGAGGGACAAAAAAAAGGAAAAGAAAAGAAAAGACAGGCAAGGAAAAAGTAAATACCTGTGAGGCACAAACTTCTAAACAAGAGCTGATGTGATCGGTCCTTTTGTCTTATAGATAGAAGCAAATAAAACAGCTTTGTTTTGAGTATGACGTTAGGCTGCCGCAGCGCCTCCTAGAGGCCGAGTCTAAACTCCCTGCCCTTGGTTTATATGTAACGAATGTAAATAAAAAGCTTATAGATGAGCCTCCCATCCCTCCCCCCCAAAAAACCTCACCCTCATCTGTATTTCCAGCCCTTCACAGCTGCTTGTGTAGGTGTATGTGTGTGGGTGTACATTTTTATGAGTGTATACATGGCTACAGCCAAAAAAGTCTCTGTATGTGTGCGTATGTGTATGTGAGAGGGCAACTCCAGAGGGTGAGGTCGATCCCTAGTATTTCACTCCCGGGACAAATTCCTTGGCCTCAGGGTTTAAGCTGCTCTTGCGCTGGAAAGAGGAGAGAGGGAGAGAGGGAGAGAGGGAGAGGGAGGGGGAGAGAGAGAGAGAGAGAGAGAGAGAGAGAGAGAGAGAGAGAGAGAGAGAGAGAGAGAGAGAGAGAGAGAGACAGACACAGACAGACAGACTTCATGTCAGAATATAGCTCATTTCAATGTACTTTTGGATTTGAGCCAGTTTAACAGAGCTTAAAGAAGTGTAAAGGTCATGAAAGCCCACCATGAGTCCTATGGATTAGGGATGCATTATTACCATTTTTTTTATTATCAATTTTTTATTTATTTATTTATTTATTTTTTAAACTCATTGATATAGAGACCGATACCATACTGAGTAACCTACTTGGTAGTTGTTAGTGTAAATGTGTGCAATTAACAGTTAAATTATTAATATCTAGCCGATTTTAAATGAAGTGTCTTATCTAGCTATGCAACTTGAGTTATCTTGGATAGAGCAGCGTTGAAGTGGAGATAAGTGGGTTTAGCAAAATGACAGCAGGAATTACATCCGAGGCTAAAGCATCTGAGGAGCTCACATTTTGTGTTGTTCAAGTCTTTTTGGCTGGCTGAGCTGTAAACTGCAATTTCAGAAACCCTGTTCTTTGTTGATTCACACTGTACATCTGAATAGGCCATCATGTACAGACAAAGCTTACTCAGTCTGATTGACATGCTATGTGAAACACAGTCTCTATAGACAGGTATGTCTGAACAATTTCAAATAAAGCTGTTCATACTTTGTAATTCTATCCAGTCAAACAGAGGGTCGACTTTTTTGCCTCCGTTTTGCTAACCTGGGCATCTCAGCTTGCATTGGGTAAGTGGTTGTGAGTGACTGCGGGTGTTTAAAATGAGCTATTTATTCAAATAGGCTTATAATGAAGTCAAAATCTAACACTTAATAAATAATTAATGTTAATGAAAATGAGAAGGTATTTAAATGCTGTTTGTTCCCTGCACGCTGCTGCATTGGTCAGTCCACAACAGTTTGAGTAGCAGCACATCAACAATAAACATGCTGGACACGTAGAACCATTTTATGCTTTCTACAAAGGACACTGGATAAGTGATGTACAATCCCTGTTCATGCCCAGCATCAAGCAAGGGATAAAACACTCAAGACCTTACCCATTACAAGTTTGATACCAATTGATAACATCCTGCTTGACACACAGAATTCAGAAAAACAGAAACAGAAGTTTTTATTTACGGTCACGCTTTTTGTGGTTTTCGGTTTCTGTTTGCTGAGTGTATCCTGAATTTCTGTTTTGGTTTCAGCCAAGGACTTTCATTTCACTGCATTACTAATTAGCATATATGCATTAACTGATTTGATGTAATCCTGTAAACTCTACTTAACTAGAAATTCAGTCACAGCTTGATGTAATTTATGTATTTTGTGACTCCTGTGTATAGCAGAGAGCTGCAGATATATTGCTACAATTTTGCAACTGTGATATTACTTGCAATATTTTAAAAACACATTGGCAAATTACACTAGTCTACGTTATTCTGTCCAAAACTAAAGTGTTTTAGAGAAACGTACATGGAATATCTTAAAAGGGCAGGATGCTTACAGCTCACCAATCCTTTGATTTATTAGAGGGCTCATTTGAATATTACAGCCTTCTGTGGCATTCCAATCTGTAAATACTGCAACTGACTGATGATTAACAAGAGTGACATTCTGCAGCCCTACTTCCAACACATGTGGACTGGCTTCTGACTGACTCAACCAGTTAGCACTCCAAGTTAAATAAGTGAGAGTTTCTACATTTCTACAAGGGTTAAAGCTTACCACAATGTCATCTGCATTGTCATTGACCGACAGGCCATTGAGCTGCTGCTGAAGCTGCCCCACCCCTGGGGGGAGGTCCCTTGCTGGAATGAACCAATCTTGGTCCTCTTCATCCAACATTTCCTGGAAACAGCGCTCCAGAAACTCCTGTTCCAACAACTCCTCCTCCACCTTAAAAGACGATATGAATAGATGGAGAAGAATGGAGAGAGAAAAGAAGCTTTTCAGAAAAGACAAAAGCAGTAAGCACTGGCAAGGCAGTGTTTTCATAACTGAGCACATGTGGGTCAAGATATTGCAAACAAGCCACTGCTCGTCAGCAAATGCAGTTAAAAGCTGGCTAAGCGAAACACTGGCTGCACAGCCATAAAGGAGCAGCATTGGACCATGTCAGTTCTGCCATGAACATGCAGCCGCACTGCTTTTAGACTGATTGCTAACAGGGTGGGGTGCTCATTATACACAAATGAAGATTTAGTAGTCTTCCTGTGAAGTGAGAGTGCTGAAAGTGCCGCAGCACCCCCTGCTCTTAGGACTGTTTTACTGTTCTGCAACTACGACAGAGTATTACAGAATTATGTGTAGTATTAGCACAGTGTACATCTGCAAGTTTGTAGGGTGGAGTGTGTATTTTATCTTATGTTTTATTTACACTTTCAAAGTCTCCATTAGCCTGTCGTATCATTGTTGCCATGTAGCTGCGGGCAGAGTCATGCACTGTTAAAGCTAACCTCAGCTGCTATATCTGTGATGTGAGTAGAGCTGCACTGTCGTCTATCTCTGCACCATAGCAAATGCATTATGATTACCATTGAAGTCATTTTCTGTTTTGATGTAAATTATCTGAACTATTCAGCAAAATAAAATAAAATAAAAAAACATTTCTGCACCCCTCAACCTGAAATGCTTGCATGACCAGGGTTGCCAAACTGGGCAGATTTTGGTTGGATTTGCCATGGTGAAAAAGTGCTTTGAGGGGGGTGGACGGTTTTAAAAAAAAAAGTATATAAAATTAATAAAGTGCATTGCAAAATAGTTCAGCTGAAATCTGAGTAGGCCTACACATACAATCATTTATCACAACTTTAACATACGTTTTAACCACTCCTGCTGAGTGGAGGCTGTTGCCTCACAATAGACATCAGCAGTTAACATGCCCAGTTTATTATTATGTAATGGATGAATGGCCAGTGATCAGTTCAGCAGCATCTGTAAAGGTAAGCAAGTTTTAAAAATATTTATGAGGAATGGTTATGCTTGCAATATTTTTGGTATTCATTTCTTCTATTATATATAATGCATTAAAATAACTGAAAAAAATAGAGTTTGCTCAAGCTCTGCAATTTATGGAAATAAGATACACATACAAATCAAAATTTAAATTTTTTGGTGATTACATTTAAAAACAAAAGGAAGAAAACAAAATAACCTTTTGGTTCTTCATGGCAGAGATAAATGACAATGACAGTGGCATCTAGCAATATCTTAAATATGTATCTGCAAACATTAACACCTCAGCAGATAATGTAACGTAAGAAAGTATTAGTGATTTCATGTTAGTAAAACGCTGTATTATTTTGAATTATAGTTAAAATGGCCTTTGTTTGTTTTTGATGTGTGCTTTTTGGGCAGTTTAACATTTTCTGGCCAGAAACTATAGAAGCAAATCAAGCAACCCTGTATGTGACCTGTGTGAGCACATGCATGTGTGTGCACAGACCTGTCGGTTGTACTCTTCTTCGTTCTCCATCCACATGTACTCTGCAAAGGGGTTAGCCTCTCCTTCTGCATGGCCATTGGCTACAGAGTCTTTTCCCTCTTTTCCTGGAGCCCCGCCCCCCGGCGTCTTCGCTACATCAGGCCCACTCATGTCTGCTGGCTCTGAAAAGGAGAGAGAAGATCAAAGTTACAAGCCCATATAAAACAATCAAGTCAAATAAGCAATTAGCCAAAGCCAAATTTCACTTAAATGAAGATTTCAATACATGGACCCAAATACAATAATCGATAAAAGCACAGGATACAGTCTAGTCCCCGTGTGAAGCTCTATACTTCAAGATATAGCATCTGAAATGAAACCATGACTGAGATTAACCTGAAGAATTTCAGCTTTGGTCAAATGTGTTCATCCATATAGGAATTCAAGCCAATTTTATACATAGTCTGTCATTTTAAAGGACTGTAAGTAAATTAGTCAGGTGGCTGTTCAGTTGTTTCTCAGCTGGTTGCACATTAGCTGCATCACCAGTTCAGGCACAAGAAGACTACCACAAGATCCAGAGTTGATTATAGACAAGGCATTTTACACTTTGAGTCTGTTGCTGCTTTCTTAACATGACTATTAAGGATCAATGCCAGTAAAGTAGGTCATCAAAAACCCAAACAACATTCAGAACAAATTAAGCTGTCACTGTGTTAAATTAATTTTGATTCATAAATCTAAAACTCTCAACATCAAAACAACTTTATACACCATGAAAGACTACAGTTGTTGATTTTCCAGCTGCAAAAGAAACTTTTCAGATGAGTGTGGTGAGCATGACCTCAGATGCTTCAGCACAAGATGCAAACCACCAAAAAGCCTCTAGAAGAAAAAGTTAGTTTCTTAAAAAGAACACAAACAGCAACACACACACACACACACACACACACACACACACACACACACACACACACGATAGAACAATGAGCGTCCAAAACAGGGCACTGGAAGCACACATCCTAAGCCAGTGGTCACTAACCCTCCTCCTTGAGATCCACTTTCCAGCAGAGTTTAGCTCCAACCTGCATCCAACATGCTTCCCCCTCATCTAAAACTAATGCATCGGATCAGTGACTCTGATTAATTAATTAGCTGAAGGGATTGTGGCAGATTGTGGCTGGAACTAGACTCCAAAAATCTGGGTTGGTATACTAAACCATACACATCACACATCCAGAGTGGACATGAGAAAGTGCATGTGTAAGGCATTTTGTCCTGACTGATCACATGGAGGAAAGTGAATGCAAGAATATAGGTTTGAAACCAAACCTGCACAACTAATCAGATTTAAAAAAAAATAAATAAATAAATAAATAAATAAAATAAATAAAATAAAATAAAAAAAATAATAATAAAATCACATAATTCTTATTGGCATAGCACAGGGTGCTTGTTCAGGTGGGAGATTGAACTCGAGTGTACAGTGTGAGGGGCAGAGGTGTTTCCCACTACACTATAAAAGCCTACTGCCCTTATGCACAGCGACCATTGTCCACAGCCATAGCGCCACATAAGAACAAGCATGAAGCAATTTATGTACACCTTTATAATAACTTTGTTTATCCCCATGCCCCAAGTCAGCACATACACACACACACACACACACACACACACACACACACACACACTACAGTTACAAGCCAAAAAAAGTTGTGACTCACATTTTTTTTTTAGTAAAATATCATGCAGCCTTACTAAACTGATTTTACTTCACTAGTCATGAAGCCCATAAAAGAAAGTGTAGTAGAGGCTCATTTTCTCTGACATGGGGATCTGATGAGGAAAAATCTTCTCTCTCTCTCTCTCTCTCTCAGCCTGTTAGATCTTGCTGTCTCTTATGTATGTCATGACGTCAGGAGTGGTGAGTAGCTCTTGTTGCATAAGCAGACAGACAGATTAAATAAAAGCAGGGCAGACTGTACCATTATGAACACACAAACAAGAAATTCCTTTCACATTTCCCACCTGTCTCTACAGACACACACTCACAGACATGATTAAAAACAAATGGAAAGAATAGGTGTGGTCATCTTCCAAGTGTGGTTTATCCAATATGCTTAAGCACCCACATTTCCTTCATTTTTCATTCGATGGATCTAAACAGTGGAATCCAATTTTTCTTTAGTGAGAAAGACCAAAAACGCAAACAAACCCACAACATTTCCTCAGCGTTATTACTCATTACGTGCTCGAATGCCCTGGAAAGTGGAGTATTTTAATCTTGGTAATTCTATGCACAAAAGAAAAGTGTCTTAATGTTTAGTGACAATTTATATTATTGGCTAATCATCTTACATTTGGCACCAACCAATACATGTGCTAGCCAAGTCTGCTCCCTCAAATACAGGAAGGAAAAAAAAACCTTGAAAATCTAGAGAACTCCTGATTCTAACCAACCAGTTTGTTGCACGCAAATGAGCCAGAGATATTTACAGCTTCATTATCAACATCCTTTGAATCACCTTTGCCTGGAATTCAGCAATTATTAACGTGGCTTAGAAAACATCCATACACCACCGCACTGCACGACACACGCCATATTCATCTTTAGTTCAGGCCTTGGAGACCTAAATATGAGCTTATCAGATGAAACACTTTCAGGTCATTTGTTATAGGATCAATCATGTGGGCAATAATTCATAATCTGCACAAACAAAGGCGTTGCAAAAGGAAGTCGGACAAAACAGTAGGATGTACTTAGATTTTAATCAAAATTAATCAATAAGGGAATTAAAAACCTGCTTAAAACAGTGAGTACAACCTCAACTTATACTATTAAGTAAAACAATAGTTTTGTTTGGTACAGATTCTGTATTAATATTTTTTTTACTTAACATTGCATTCACACGCAGGCTTGCTGAACATCTCCTTCCAAAAGGTTATTGTCAGGGCTCTGAGCAAGCAAGTTCTTCCTCACCAAACTTGGCAAACCATTTCTTTACGGACCTCACTTTGAGGTCCTGAAACATAAAATAAATACCTAAAATGACTGCAGAAAAAGACTTTCATATTCTTGTGATTTGGAATTTCTTATTGTTCTTATTGTTCACAACTTACGCTGGTTTGTTTTAGGCAGTTAATAATAAATGGATAAATTTGTCACTTGAGATAAAAAACTAGGAAGGGGGGCTGAAGGGGGAAAAGTCTGAAGATGTTTGCTCCAGAATGTCACAGTATGCTGTAGCATTAAGATTCAATATAACAGATATGATTGATGTTCATTGTCTATCAAATACATTAAAAGGAATTGTGGCACATGCAAACATTTGAACAGCCTTCAAATTGTAAAGTCTCCGAGCTTAATTTGCTAGGCCTAAATTGACATGTTAGGATTAGGAAGATGAAGAATGGTCATGAGGAACCGTCAGCTGATGGCATTTCCAGACCAAAATAATCTCAGACTCCTCAAACCATGGACTCCTCTAAGCAGCTGCCCATGGATCTGATAAAGAAGCTAACTGATGCTGACAAAGCAAGGGATGTCTATAAAAAGATAATGTATTTAACTGTTTATTTATACTGTCCGAAGTGTCATTAAGAAATGGCAGTTAATGGCAACTGTGGAAGTCAAGGAAGATCTAGAAGACCAAGAAAACACTCCAACAGCACTGTAACTGCTTGTATGCTGGCCAGAAAGGTAAAGCAAAGCAATATGACAAAGGACCTGCAGGAAGGTTCAGCTGACAAAGGAGGGGTGCTGCACCATTGTACTGTGCAGCACTGCTTGCACAAACATGATCTGCAAGAAAGTCATCAGAAGGAAATTCTACAGGCATCCTCATCACAAAGTCAAAACAACATCTAGACAAGCCAGAGACTTTTTGGAAGCAGGTGCTGTGGACTCATGTAGTATAAATGGAATCCCCTGCCCACAAATCACCAAAGGTATATTTGGAGGAAAAGGAGTAGTATTTGATGAAAAGAACACCTTGATAACTGTTGAGCATGGGAGTGGATCAACTATGCTTTAATGTTGTGCGGCAACCAGTGGCATGGGAAACATAGCATGGGTATATGGAAGAAAGGATTCCACTAAACATCAGCAAATTCTGGAAGCAAAATGTGACAATGAAGAAACTGAAGCTGAAAAGAGGCTGGCTCCAACAACAGGGCAATGATCTAAATCTGCAGAACTAAAAGAGAAAAGGAAGAGTGAGTGAAAATTTCTAAAACATTTACACACTTTAACTTGTCCTAGTCAGAGCCACCTACTAGTTAATTAAATTAGAGGTTGGCAATTGTAGCGTTAAGTCTTGCCTAGTAACTTCTGTGGTGTGGTGTGGTGAGCTTTGCTTGCCCAGGTGTGGAATCGAACCACATTCTGCTGAATGTAGGGCTGTAGAATTACCTACTATGCTATACCAAACCTAAAACAAGAATAGAAAGACTCCTAGCTGGCTGCAAAAAGTGTTTACAGGCTGTGCCAAGTAGACTTATTAGGATGTCTTTGCCAAGTCAAGCCAAGTTAATCAATTATAATTAATTAATCAAATCAATAAATATGAACATTAAATGCAAACATTTTAAGTTTGCAGAGGTTGTCTTTTCACTTAAAAAAAAATCAATAAAGTATGTAATTAGGCCAGATGTGGCCAAACTTTTGCATACAACCGTATATACATAGCACTGCACTAATTTCTCCCATCTCAAGCACTCTCAAGAGTCGGGAGCACCTTCTTTTGCACTACAAATGCATGCACAACATAGCAGTAAATTTGGCAATCACCATCCAAACAGAAAACAATATCAATGATCAGGTCTGTTGACACTGTGACAGTATTGTTACATTATCCATGCCTAATGGAATCTCCTTATGGCTCGGTGTCTTGGACCAGAAAGAACAAATCCATTTTAAGACATTCGAATACAAAGAAATTACAGCGCACAGCAAATCATGCAACGTTTTTCACCTCACAATTTTTTTTTCTGCACGAGATCTCACTGTTCTTTACATTATGAAAGGAACCACGCAGTGATCAACACCAATTCTAATCAATTACACAGTATACCACCCACCACTAGCTGGCACACAGCCACTGTGAATGCAAGGTGAATCTGACAGACCCCTTAGAAATGGCCACCATAAACTCAAACCTTAAATCTGTGTGTTCAAGCAAATGATAGGTCCAGTAACATAAGAAAACATCACCTCTATTTCCACACAGTGGGAGGGCAAGCAGTCACAGCCTCAGAGTGCTATACCATCACATGAGTCTTGGGCCCAACATGCATCTCCAGGCAAGTGTTGCTTTAGGATCAGATCCCCTTTCAAAACAGAGCTGCAGTCACCATGACACTAAAAGCAAGAACTTATCCGAAATCAATTTGAAGCATGCAGCTGAATCTGTGCCAGTATCCTGAGGGGAATCTCAGCTGCCAGACAAGTCTTCAATGGGGGGGGGTGAGGAATCACCACTGCTCAGTGGCTGAAGCACAGATAAATGTCAGAGAGAAGGAAAGTGTGAAGCTGCCTGGCTTCTAAGACAAAATGAGCTGTGCACCAATATTCTTATTTGAATTATTCCTATTAGTGATGCAAGGAGTACCTGACTAACTGAGTGCCTGTTACACAACCACCTATATAACTGCTAAAATACTACTCAATATGTGTACATTTGCTTTGCATTGCACTGTCGCTAACCTACTTTCCTGACTCCAGAGAGTCTGGTAGGTTTGTTGCGCAGCGTGACCAAGAAACCTATTCGGACAAGAAGGAGCCATCTGGCTGACCAACCACAGACCGTTGTTTTGTGTGACTTATAGGGGCAGTCAAAACTATAAACAAACTGCTTCAAACAAAACTTTTAAATATGTGATGCTGCAAATTTTTCCATGCAGACTTAGGGCTTAATTTATAAAACTTTCATATGCACAGATTTGATCTTAAAATTATTGTACATGAAAATTCAGGTTTAAGTAGCGACTGATAAAACGCTGGTGTGAAAATGTGCACACATGAATGCAAGTTTCCAACCTGGCGTAGAAGTGTGCTGCAAGTATTACGGTGCATGATTTCTGAACATTACAAACCATATATAAACCAACTGTATGCAAATGCTAAGAACCTATTTTAAGAACAAATTTAGAGGAGATTCATGTATGTTTTTTAAATGAGGCCCCAGATTGTCCTCCAAAAGACTCAGTTGCCACAGTTGCTAAACAAATGTTAAGATTTTAATGAAGGCTTTTTTTTTTTTCCAAATAAGTGGTTTTGTTATAAAACCAGTGAATAAAGCAAAATATAAATTTCATGTGCCAGGCTGATCACTTTTTATTTATTTTTTTAGTGCTACAGTACTCAACCTCAAATTCCTCAAAATTCTCATCCCATTACAGATACCAAGTACTTCAAAAATGTTAATATTAATTAAAAATGTATATTAGGATTGACAAACTAAATCAGTCATTGCTATGATGCTCCAATTAAAATGATACTACTACTACTACTACTACTACTAATAATAATAATAATAATAATAATAAATAATAATAATTAATAATAATAATACATAATAATAATAATACATAATAAATAATACATAATAAATAATACATAATAAATAATAATAATAAATAATAATAAAAAAATGAAACAAAAAGAAATCCAAGTGAGCAGTGATTCCATGATTAAGGTTCAGCTGTTGTTGTTGAGGTTTCTAACAGCAGTCATGCCATGTTTGAACAGGCAGTCAATCTGAGTCTTTCACCCCCCCCCCATGTATTCCATCTGAAACACAGCCAAATAACATACAAACACACATACAAACACACATACAAACACACATACAAACACACACTTTCATTCCACCAAACGGGTCCAATGTGCTCTTCTCTCGGGATGGAGGATAGGCATATAAATAAATAAATAAATAATAAAAACGGCATATCTGAGTGGTAAATGTGAGAATGATTGAGAATCCACGACAAATCAGCCACGTTTGCGATTTGGTGATGTGTAATGTGTCACAACACGCCATGCTGATCTTTCTGCTATATCCTCAGGAAGTGTACGGTTTAGCTTCCGGCGGACACTGCTTGTAGATCGGCTGGCACTTTAAGGCAGATAAGACGTGTGAAGATGACCTATTTCCACACCTTGGGTTAAGCCATACGAGCCCACGTTAATCGCTTTTCCGCTGCTCCTTCTAGGCTTCAGCCAGACACAGGGTTTCATTTTTGGAGGCAAAGCTTTCACGCACCATGGTGGTCATTAATCCTACCTGAACTAAAAGAAATGACAATATAAACAATACAGCAAATCAATGCAAATCCCCAACAATGTTATCAAAGAATAAACAGGGCCTGATACATGTAGGGACTGCAACTACAACTAAAATACAACTGATATGTTTGATTACTGAAGATGACTTCGCCTCTGTTAAACCAGAACTGCACAATATACTCTTTGTTAATCATTACCACACCACTGGTCTCTAAAAGTAGGACAGTGCTAAAGGCAGCAATGTCCAATTTACCATACAATCAGATAACAACTATCTGCTGTGTATTATTTGGGGACACCAAATAATCATGTCCCTGATGTAAGAGACATTTCTTGTCAAAATTATGCCATTCTGGCTTTAACTATGCAACACAGGAACATCAATTGATTACATGCGTGTCTTATTAATCCTGGCAAGTCACACTGCAATATTCTTTCCAGGTTGACTTCCAGTGCATCACCTCAAGGGCATTATCTGGCAGTACGCTGCACTCTGTTGTCTTAAAAACTGACTTGCTCTGATGGCCAATATTCAGTTCAAACCTATAACCAATAATTATCTCACAACCACATAAACTTTAATCCTGTGGTTTACAGTTGATGGATGGAACCGGAGGAGAAGAAACGTAAGCATTCCACCACTAATTAACGCCTTGTGCATTACCTAAGAAGCTAACGGCACACACTGTTGGTTTAAGGTCAGTCCGTCAGTTGTGGCACAGAGTCTGCCAGGGGAACTTTTGGCCATTAACAATCCACTCGTCCCTGCCAAGAATCTTGCTCTGTCTGTGCTTGTCCAGAACCATCGACGGGTGACAGACATGCAGGAAGGGGGTGGGAGTAATGGAAACCAAGGGGTCGTACACACATCTCACCTTTCCACCTTCAGCAGAGATGGAGGCGTGAGCAAACGTTTGCCGAGAAAAGCCTGTACATTTATTCAGTAACCTGTTCATCTGGCCCTTACAGTAAAATATGGGATATGTGCAAGAAATTGTTTGTTTTAAACAACATAGGCGGTTCTCTAGAAAAACACTGTAATAATACAGATTACTGAAAGAGTGCAGTATAATGTCTTAATACAGAGCGCATTATGACTGTGTGTTGTAGGAGTTTTTTTTTTATAGAAATGTTCCATCATCACAGCAAACAGGGCAAATGCAGGTGTAATTAAGTGTCCAAGATGGAATTACATGGCCCTTAAATTCAGGCCTGAGCTCTATAAAAACAAAAGTGAGCTAGGTCAAAGATATCCGTAGGTCAATTTACAATAACAACACAGACAAACGTATTTATAATGCAGTGATTAAGCAGACAAACTAAACTGACTTGAAGGGGAAGTTTTCTTGGGCGCTTTGATTCCAGCAGAGAATAGCAGAGGCTTTCCAAAGCAGAGTAAATACTGCAGGGCCTACTTTCAAGCTCGCGGTTTGACACCACTATTTGCTCCGTGTTCTCTTCGTCCAGCTCAGCTTATGTAACAAAGGAAACGGCATTTCCCCACATCTTACACACGGCAGCCATGAAACCCGGGATGAGGGGATGAAAAGCATGTCGACCGTAGGTGGACAATGAGAATGAGGCTCGCCTGGAAAACAAGAAAAAGCAAGAGCGCGGCGGGGCACAACAGAGGCCGAGAGTGAGGTGGAGGTCGAGCTGGGGCTCTGGAGAAGACCGTGAAACGTCACTCCTGTCCCCAAACATAGGTTTTTAAGGTCGTAATCAACACCACTGTCGATGCATCTAAACATGGCGCAGTGTGAAAAAGGCGCTCGGTCTGGTCTGGCTCGCAGTCCACTTGGCCAAAACACGTCTCATCAAAACAAAGAGCGAGCTGGCTAATGTTCTGCTCTCCAGCGTGTGCCCATATGAAAACCCACTGCTGCCGTTATGTAAGAGCAGATCTTTTGTTAGTTACACTGTAAAACAACTGCAGGGTGAAATAAGAAGCCTCTGTTAAATGGCAGAAAAACACGAAGGGGCGCCACACACTTTAGCCCCCGACAATAAAGGTTAAACTGACAAAAGGTCGAATCAAGTGAACTAAAAATCTACAGGACTCCTGCTTTGAGGAGAACAGCCTGGCATTTCTAGCAAAACGAGTTAATCAGCTCGCTCAAAGACGTTACGGTACTAGTAACGGGCCTAAACGAGCTGGGACGGGATGTACTAGTTGGCTGAGTGCAGAGCAGGAGTTGTGTGTTTGTGAAGCACCTTAGTGCACACGTCTCTCTGAATACAATAACGGGAGACTAACTGAAGTCAACACAAACATTGCAGTTCACCGACGAAAGCAGCAGTTCGCACATACATGGTCTTCCCATTAAGCCTTTGTTTTTCTTTAGGGAGCAATGAGGGAAATCAGGCAAAGCTATGAAGCTAAAGTTGGCTTTCTATTCGATTTTTCCCGTTCCACCTTAAATGGAGGCGCCAGGATGGAACTGCTGCACCATTTAAGGTGGAACGGGAAAAATGGAACAAGAAGAAGCCTGACCTCAGCTTCGTGCCAAAGCTAACTAGAGTTGGCGAAGTCCAGTTAAACTCAAGCACGCAAACACGCACCGAATGGGGTCAAAGAAGCACGAAACCGCATAAATAAACCCCACACAATACGGAAAACACTTGAGACGACATACCTGGCATGGTGCGCTCTCTGGTTGTCCGTCAAAATCCGTAAAACCACAGTTAAACTCCAGCACAGCGCGCTGAGCGGTAATTCCTCCACTCGCGGTGAGTTGAGAAAGCTGCTAGCTAAATACATTAGGAGCAGCGCGGTCACGTGGTCTGCGCGCAAACAAACACCCACGCTGCCCCTCCTCCCGCGCATGCGCACCGGCGGCCTCCTAACGGACGCTGCTGCTCTCGCAAAAATCAAAACAAACTGGAGAAGAAGAAGCCTGGGCGAAAATGACAGCTGTGTGCGTTTTAATGGTGGGTCACACTCAGAGCTTGATTTCTAATCCCCTAGATCAGGGGTTACCAACCTTTCATGTCAGATGAACCCCTTCATTATTTGCCTTAATTACCCCACTTAGATTTCGAGTGGGCTAACGTTAAAGGAAACCGTTTTTTAATGAAATGGTTTCATGGCCTGGTTTGCATCATTAGCGTCCAAAGGTCTTTTCAAGAAAGCTGACTTGGTGCTTTAATTAGAACACAGCATCACATACTCTGGACGATTAAGGTGTTTTATTCACAAAAAAGACCTTACCTAGCTAGTCATTAACTCTAATCTCCATCAAATATCATATATAAGGCAAATCTTCCTGAGTCCTCTCTGTCTGCATTAAACTGTCAGGTGGTTACAACGTCACATGACATGATCCATTCAGTAATTCCCTGAATAACTCTTGAATCATCTTATAGATAAAATTATATTTTTACATTTCCATCCCAGTCTCAGGAAACAGTACACCACCAACAGAAGGGAAACAAACAGTGGTGCCTTATGAAAAGAAAAAATAACCTTTTTGACATGCACCGATCAGGCATAACATTATGACCACCTCCTTGTTTCTGTGCTCATTGTCCATTTTATCAGCTCCACTTACTATATAGGTGCACTTTGTAGTTCTACAATTACAGACTGTAGTCCATCTGTTTCTCTGCATACTTTGTTAGCCCCCTTTTACCCTGTTGTTCAGTGGTCAGGACCCCCATGGACCCTCACAGAGCAGGTGCTATTTGGGTGGTGGATCATTCTCAGCACTGCAGTAACCAGTAACACTGATGTGGTGGTGGTGTGTTAGTGTGCGTTGCGCTGGTACGAGTGGATCAGACACAGCAGTGCTGCTGGAGTTTTTAAACACCTCAGTGTCACTGCTGGACTGAAAATAGTCCACCAACCAAAAATATCCCACCAACAGCATCCTGTGACCACTGATGAAGGACTAGAGGATGACCAACACAAACTGTGCAGCAGCAGATGAGCTGTTGTCTCTGACTTTACATCTACAAGGTGGACTGACAAGGTAGGAGTGTCTAATAGAGTGGACAGTGAGTGGACACAGTGTTTAAAAACTCCAGCAGCACTGCTGTGTCTGACACAGCACACAACACACACTAACACACCACCACCACGTCAGTGTTACTGCAGTGCTGAGAATGATCCACCACCCAAGTAGTACCTGCTCTGTGAGGGTCCATGGGGGTCCTGACCACTGAAGAACAGGGTATATTTCAGTATTGCAGATTTATCTAATGTACTAATTTACTGAAGTTGCTGTCCTTTGCCGAGCTCCTAGGCCCATAACATCCTAACATCTGAGAGACCCAGACAACAAATGCACACTGCACCTCATTAGGGCCCAGCGTAGCACTGTACCCAGTCCGGATCTGCAAAGCAGAACTGGCCCAGTGTCTTTATGCACAACAGCCCACTGCTGATATGTTTTACGGATCTGTGCCAAAAGAGATTAAAAACAGGCCCAGATGAGCAAAGAACAGCATTACATCTGGCCCTGAACTGGTGCAGTTCTAAATATTTTCTTCATATTTAGCCCAAATGTGGCATGGACCCAGTTCAGAAGAGGTTCAAGCTCAAAACAAGCAGCTCTCTGTGGACCGGATCCGGCCCTGACTTGTTGGATCTGGACTAGATCCGTTCCAGACTCAGCTACAGCCCCATATCCTGCATAGTCATTCACAAGAAATAAGGGTAATTATGAGTTATTGTTCTAGTTTGAGCTCCAGTTCGCGGAATGAGTCATTTGAGCGGACTGAATTGATCTGATTCGCTTAAGTGTGTCACTTCGCTTGTTCAGAATCAGTTGGCTGGTAGTGTTTTTCTCTCAGACGTTCAGGAAACTACAGCCACCAACCAGCTGGTGCACTGCAAAACGGGAGAAAGTATTTTATTCATTTCAACGCATAAGAAACGACACAAATTCGTAAACAACACAATCCGTGATTACAATACGAGTGTAATAGCTGCACACTCGGCATTTGGGGTTATAATGTCGGCGCAGAGTCTCTGAGCTGGAGCAGAGAGGCTGAGTTAACAGATTTCAGTGGAGAAGAAGAGAGCGTGTTGGGACTTGCAGTGCGGCAGCACCGCCACCTACCGGCGGACTGAGAGAACCTCAGATTACAGCCACTGAACTGAGCCCTGAGCGAACTGCGTGCAGTGTAGCGTGAACACCTTACCTACTTAATAAAGGCGCTGTACCTTGATGAAAGATAATCAGTGAAAATGTTTATTTTTGATTATTTAATGTTTATTTAGAACAATGCGCAGACTTTAGTACCATGCGCAGCTAACTAGAAGGGCATTTTCTAAGAGCTCCTGAGCTCGGAGTCTACCAGAATAGCGTGAATCATTCTGTGGATCAGCGCTGATGTAGAAAGAGGCCACTCAACAAGTCAGACGTAAAGCCCATGAAAGCAAATGAGTCTTTGTAGTGAGTCAATACAGGTGACTTGAATCTTCAAATACGATGGCATGGCGGTCTGTTCAACACTACGGCAAGGCAACGTCTTCATCGGTTAGAAGCTCCATGTGTCACAGAATTTTGTAATTAATACTTGCAGTGTTTTGTTAAACTTGAGGCAGACACATACACGATATATGAGCCGCCGCTGTGCGTTTCTCTTTGTGGCCAGCAAGGGGCGCAATGCGTACACGGCTATCGAGGCGCCTATAGAGAGGGGAGGGATAATTAGGATCTCTCAATGTCCCCCACCCCACAAGTATCCAACAGTAAATATGCCACTGGCCATATAAAAAGGTTACCTAAAACGTTTTGCTGTGCAAAATTTATATTTGAATTGAATCCTTAAATATTTTTGAAAATTTAAATATTTAAAAAAATATATATATATATATATTTATATAAATATAAAAAATAATCTTAAATATTAAGATTTTAAAATGATAATTAATGTATACGTCATGTTGCAGTTTGTGAAGGATTTGTTTGAAAACAGTTTGAGGTAACTCACCATGGATGAGATGCATTATGAATAAGAGGGAGATAAATAGACTTCAGGGTAGTCTGTACAGTATTCATGGAAGTTAACAAGGTATGTTATTAAAACACTGGATCTCTCTTTACAGGTATATAGTTGTTTTAGTATATATTTTACGGGCTTGTCTTTAATGCAACCACCCAAGGTAGTTACGCCACTGGTCATATATCTATCCTTCTAGCCCTCTTTTCCCTTAACATTCACTTTGCATATACATATTTAAAATAAACGTGATAATTTAGTGACACATACAATGAAATAGATGTCAGTGATCAACAAAGTTTAAATCCTACTGAAGCTTCATTCACAGTAGATGAAGCAGAAAGTTTAGAGAATGAAGCTGGTGCCCTCAACCACCAACACCTCAGAAAATCACTTCCTAAGCTTTGTAAGCCTTCCTTATTGCTCCCTCGAGAGAGTTATTCATAATTTTATTGCTGACAGTGTGTTAGGGGCACACTGGGGCAGCCACCCTGCAGAAATGCCTCCCAGAAGGTCCACATGTCATTTGACCCCTGATGAGTTACCACTCTTTGAGATTTAACACAGGAGTTTGTGGAGTCTGAGTGGAGTCTGCTGTGAAAGAAAGCTCATATGTAACTGCACCACAGAGTTCTTGCTGTTCTCCAGTGGGGTAGAAAGACGGGACTTCATGATTTGTGCTGATTTATTCTGTCTCTGCAGAGGGGCCCAGAGTGCTCCCAGTAAAAGTGGTCAGTTTCATAATCTCTGCATGCGCCCCCCCCCTTTCTTCTGAACAGCCCTGGGCTAGTCTGGGGAGCTTTGCAGGGGTTTAGGTGGAAGGGGGGGATGGGGGTTTGGTGTCTACTTATAGGTGCTATTTTTCATTCTTGGTGAGCCTTTGTGTCTGCATGCATACACATACATCCTGGACACCATGATCACACAAAACTCACAATGCAAAGCCCCAGAAAAACCCCACGCTGTGCCCCTCGCATACTTAGCCAGCACACCTAGAAAACACAAAAGCTGTCTCATATTCCTGGACACACTCACACATTCACATACAGTGAAACTGCATTTGATCAGTCACGAACACCATCCTGCAAGTCATTTCTCTTTGTCAGATTGGGGGAAGGGGAAAGAGGAGGCCTCAGGCATTGAGCCAACAACTCCCCACCACCAGTCCTGCCTCTTAACTTGTGGATGGGCAAAAAAATGACAGTGGCACTGATCAAAGGATGGAGTGAATAGTCTTGAATTAAGGATATCACGATACTAGATTGTTGGTTGGGATATAAAATAGTAGGATATAAAAAAGTTCACAATGCTCGATACCAAAACTATACTTTGGCAAAAAAGCTCTATCTCTTTATAAATCCAATAAATAAATAAAACCAGTTACTAATTTAAACATGGGATCCAAAGAGAAGAATAACTTTAAACATAAATTGCATCACAACTTTTAACATTTTTAATATGTTATATTTAGCCAATAAATAGTAATTGTGCCTTAAAATGTGCAGAAGTTTGCTCCCTGTAAAGGATGATTTATTTTCACTTAAAAAAAATCAACCAAACATGTAATTTGACCAGGGGTGTCCAAACCTTTTCATAAAAATGTTACTGGATATAACACTTCACCTGTGTCTTCTAGCTAGCGGATGTGTCTCTACTCACCGGAGTCAAGTTAGCATGCATGGTTTTATTTACCCTTATGCAGAACACAATGGCAGTATAGTGCTAGCTTCCTTAAAGAATTAAGTGCATTAAAAGAAAGATAAAGTACTGATATCTTTGTCACAGTGCAGTACTGAACTTTTAGTACATAGTAGAGCATTAACCTGAATAGC